CAAATTACACAGAGTTGCTTCGTTTTCCACTTCTTCGTTTTCCACTTTTGCTCTGAGAGCTCTATCCTAAGGCAGAGTCCTCTGAGGTTCTATTTAGGAAAGGATATTGAGGGAGAAAAACAAAACAAAACAAGGCCAGATAGATGAGATAGTAGCTCATGGTTATGTTTCATGCTCTGGAAATCTGTAAGAAATGTGAGATCAAGGATCCCACAGGGAGAAGGAGAGAGGTCCTCCCTTTGGGCTCCGACCTAGATTTCCAATCTTAGAGTTCCCACATCCAATCTAAGTTTGCTATCCCAGGAGTGGATTCAGAACTACTCTTCAGGCACAGGAGACCTAAACTTTAACACCACCAGACCCTTTGTCCTTCACACTCAGTCCCAGCCCTAGCCCTTCAGTCTCCACACCAGATATTAGTTCAACTTAGAATATTCAGCACGTGCGCGCGCGCGCACACACACACACACACACACACACACGGGCTTATTCAAAGTCACATGGCGAGTTAGTAGCAAGCTGAAAATGCTGAACTTTGACTTCCCATTTCAGTGTGTTCTATCAGCACTAAACCAAGCAACCACAAAGAAATCACTGAATCACTTGCAAATATTTGCTTGGCCCACTGGTTTGAGAGCTAATCCATGTTCAATTTCAGTAGTTATTTCTACAGTGGAAAATGACACAGTCCACCCACCTTTGATTTTCTTATGAAGTAAGTTCTATCATATTTTTAGCAAAGCACTTGCCTTCTGTTCTTGCCAGAGGTACAACCACTTTGCAAAGTATGTTCTCTTAAAGCAGATACAGGAGCACTTTATAAACAAAATCTAAACCTAATGACTGTAGTCTTTTATTCCCCCAAACTGTGTTCCAAATGGCCAGAGATATCCAGCTAAAACACAATCAGATCAAGCTACTCCTCTTGTTAAAATCCTAAAACCCTTAAAAGCATAGTTATGCTCTGCCCCCATCTTAACTCTCTAGCCCTACTTTATGTTATTCCCCACAATGATCGCAAGCTCTAATCAAAGACCCCTGAATGTGCCATGCTTTTCACAACTCTGCACATGCTAGTCTTTTGGTCTGATGCCTTTCTCCTATCCTTTGCCTGCCTAAAGAATAGCTAATTATTTTTCAAGGGTTCTTTGAACCCTTCTCAAACCCCCAGACTCATAGGGAATTGATAGATACTTTTAAAACTTGTCAGTGTGATTAATTGTTGAAATGCTTCAAATGCTCATGCGTAGGTACCCTATCTTAGGCATCTTAGCATCCTTAAAACCTACTGTTGCACTTGATACACTCCTCTACGTATATACCATCAACTTAACCAACTTACATAGATATTAACTAAGTTATTGCTCAAGACAAAATTGCACATTCTCTATCTTCTCCAGAAAAACGGTGTCATCAGTCATCTCACTCGGCAGACTCACCCACTGGTTTGTTCCCACTCTAAGAGTGAATACGCTCAGAATTTTCTAAACACTATATCCCTACATGTCCACAATATGTCAAAAGGCTAATAATGAAAAAAAAAGGTCATTTGTAATAAAAACGACAATAGATGTTTTGCAATTTGAGAACAGAGAGAGAGAGAGAGAGTAAAGAAGGTTGAATATACTTTTGGGAAAAATCTTGAATGGTAGATATACTTCTGATGAAAAGAGCAAATCATCCATCATGTGAAAAAAGCTTTGCATAGGTGGAGGACAATTATAAAGCTATAGAAGAGAAAAAACAGTTGTCTAAATGGAGAGAAACATTTGCGAGTATGATCAACGCCTTTTGGCTTAAGATTAATTAAGAGGAAGTCTAAAACTTACCAGAATTTAAAGTCTTATGGTAAAAAATGCTGCTGACAAAGTTTCTATTGCAGACCTTAGATTGTTTAATAGGTTCAAATCCTTCCAGTGTGCATAAAATCAAAGGGAGCAGAGATTATAAATGTCTTAGCTACTGAGATATTCCCTGCAGACACTAGCTGAGATCACTACCTGTCTGTAGACAGATTTTCAAAGTAGCAGGTACTGGTCTAGGTTTTGGTGGGAGTGGGGGAAGAAGCTGGATAGAATGAGTTTTTGGAAAAGCACGCAGCAAAATATCTGATTGAAGAGAGTGTCCTGACTCAAATTCTTTTTTGGATGGAAATACATCTAAGCAAGCTGAATATCCTTCAGAACTTAATTTGTTCATGTGCCTATGAACTTCTGTGTGGAAACATGTTCACAAAAGAAAAAAAAATAAAGAACAAAAGGGAGGGCTAGAAGGATTCTCTGGCCCAGTAGAAAAACTCAGAAAATGAATCACAATGTGTTCTAGTATGCAGGTGGAGGAGTCTTTCAGGAAAGGCAAGAGATGATTTGTAGATACCCTTCCATGGTAACTCTTAGGAATGAACATAAGGGATCATGGGAATCCTTATTAAAACTGTATCTCTACTTCGTAGATTCATTCCCTTCAATTGCCTTTTTTTTCTTTTTAGTTCTGTTTTTGAATTCTCACTTATTCTTTCAAACCTGAAGAGATAAAAAGGAAAACAGCAACCTAATAGATCTTTAAGATCATTAGGCCCAACCTCCCATTGTATCCTGAGACCAATTACAAAATCTGTAACAAGGGCTTTCTCTCCTTGAGTAATCTATTCTTTAAACTGGTCACCTGAGGAAATTCTACAACCTGCCTTAACGTGCTTTGCACTTTTCAATAATACAGATCCCCCCAATTTTTCTGATATTTAACTAACCTATCTGTAATAATTCTCAAACAATTCTTTTTTTTTTTTTGATGATGAGTAAGTGGACAGATTTCCCATGCTCCAATGAATACAATTTAATGGAACCACATAATTATCTATCCACTAAGCTCTCACAGGCAAAGTGATGTCTGCCAAATCTTGATATGTCTCCAAACACCTGCACCTCAACCCACAGACTCCTAAAATGGCTAGTGATCTACAACTCTACAAAATAAGGAATATTTTTATACATTAGTTTCTTGCTGCTCATTTTTCCCTGTAAGACTATTGGTAAGCTCTCTCCTCATAGCTCACATTTTTGAGGACACTTGTGGTTCTTCCTGCTTTCCTCATACATCCTCAGCTCTATGCTTCACAGACTCTCCTTTCTGATATAGTAAACACAATCAGTAAAACCTGAGCAGGAACTATTTGTTGCACTCTACATTTGTTTAGTTTGTCAGCATAAAACTTGCAATCTACTATTAGCAAATATCATCCCTTTAGATCTGCTATTGCCCCCCTGCTTTAATCCAGTATCTCTTACTAAAAGAGCTAATTAAATTTATCTCCATAAGATGCCTCACTTCAGATAATTTTATTTGTACATTAATTTCCAAAGAGTTGAATGATTGCATTCCCACATGTATAATTATGATTTTTTTATCAGTATCCATCATTATTCCCTTTGAATCATATTTCATTAGTTTATTTGAAACTATTGTGTAAGGATATTTCATTTCTTTCAGTTTCTTCTTTGCTTATTTCTCCTTTTTGACTATTCATACCACTGTTTTCAAACTTGTTTTCTATTTCCACTGTGTTAATTACTACAGTTTCTGAAAATTTCCCTTATGCTAGATATTTGCATCATATTTAAATGTCTCATAATCATTTTGGTTATTTAGAACTTATAACAAACCCTGTGCCACAGTCACTAAAATTAAGCTGACGCTTAAGAAACGTTTTTCAGCTTGTTTCATTTTTGACATCAGCTCCAAGTTTCAGTTCAACAAAATATAGTCATGCATCTAACTGTTCTACTGCTTTGTAATGAAATTGAAAAATTTAAAAATAATATTAATAATCAAAACCAAAATAATAGACAACATGGAAATATTATATATATATACATTTGTGTATATATATATATATATATATATATATATATATTCCATGTGTTTTAATAGCTAAAAAAGACTTTTCATTCTCAAAATGGAGATCACAAAGTTGGCCCATTCAATGTAGTTTCCACCAAAAAAGTAAAAGATTTATATTCATTCAAAAGCAACTTGAAAATGTAAGGCTATGCTTAGATTCATCTAAAATAGAAGTGAAGCAGAATGGTCTGAATAATCTTGATAAGAAACTCCACATTCTGTTTCACTTTGCTTTGTTGACACAGTCTCTGAATAGGAAAAAACTGTGAAGGTTATTTTAGTCTCAATATTAAATGAAGCTTCTAGTAAATAAGTTACTATTTAAGCTACCTGAAATGAAATTAAAGATTACTGCAGGTTTATTTTTTCTCAAAATATGTATTCCTAATGAAACATTTTAAGGCACTATTAAAAGTATGGGATTGAATAGACAGAAACAAATATATAAAAAATAGATGTGTACATATGTGTGTGTATATATACAGGTATATAATCTTCAAGTCCCTACCACAACTCTACTAATTATTACAATTGAAAACTATTACTACAAAAAGTTATTGCTTTGAGATATTTGACATCTCCTACACAAACTTTTCAGATCCAAATCTTCATTTAAAAAATCAGAATAATTTCTAACCCTGGAAAAATAACAAACCCTAAACTACTATGTGGTGTTAATTTAGCTATGAATAGAACTCATATTTTCTTACCTTTAAAAGCCAATATAATATATATTGCTAAAATGTAAGCAGAAATTAACATTTATTCACAAAATAACATATAAGATGCAATAAAATGTTAAATTGGTACAATTTAGTAAATACCCAAGAACATGAAACCAGAAGAAAAAATTGCTTTATCATGAACTAAAACAGTGATTTCTACATCTTGATTAAAATAAGACATTAATAAAGTTACAGATATAGTTTACCTAAATTACAGCAAATCACAGCTCAACTACTCTAATATGATACCTAATGATCATGCAAATGAAACCATAATTATAGCCACACATATCAAAGTAAAATAAGTATTGATTAGACCTGTCTTCATAGTTCATCTAAAATACAGAAAATTAACCTGTCAGTTTAGTTACCTACCCGCAATGTTTGGATTCTATCAGTGTTATCACCTCTACAAACAGCACCAAATTATAATCCTTCTTCCCATAACATAAGCACCATGCCCAAAGAGACAACCAAAGTAAACGATCTGATCATGAGTAATGAATAGTTAGGGCTGGTTGGAATCCACTTAGTGAGGAAAGAGAAAAGAGAAGTGGCTCATTAGGGCATTTCCTGAAACTCAGTTGGAATTTCAGTTAAGGAAGAAGAAATGACACAGCAGTTTCAAGTAGGGGGGACTTCCTTTCTTTATCTGAAATATGCTACCAATTTGAGAAACAGTACTCCAACTACACTACTCCACAGTAATTGTGGCCACAGTAAAAGCTCTCGTTGATTCCATTATTGCCCCGTAATTAACATTTCTTCCCAGAATATACACAAGCAGTACATGGTTGTTATCAAAATGGACTAAGATCCCACATCTATTGCAGCATGTTAAGTCTCACATTTAACATTTCTTCAACAAACTGACCTGCCCCAATTTTCATGTTTTAAGAATGCTAGTTTTGTTTAGAGTATTAATAGATTCCGAGTTTTTGCTTAATGCCATCAAATTTCCCATGTTTCATCCTGTCCCATTTACCTTACGTATGATATTGCTCTCAAAGTGACTCCAGGATACTTCTCATCTTGTCTAAGAATATTTTATCTTCTTATGTAGATGGAAAACATATAATTCAGCTTATAAGATTTCTAATAATTTATTTTCATTTTCTAGTGTGATCTGTATTTTTGAGGAACATGAACACTGGTTATTTACTTACCAAGTCTTTACAAATGAAACTTTTTAAAAGGTTTTATTTTATGTGTTAGTTATCTGCATGAACTTAAAAATCTAAAGACACAACTTTGTTCCCACACTATAATTCATACTGAGAAAAATCTACATTTAATCTATAATCCTAACACCACTTGCTTACTTTATCTAAAGCCGTATTTTTAAAACAATATATGAAGCAGAGCATTCTCATTAATTACTGAAGTTTAATGCAAATGTTACATGCAAATTTCTCTAGCCCTTGTACTTTGAAAATTCATGTAATTAAATTAACATTTATGTTTTGCAAGGAGTGGAAGTTATGTGAAAATATCTCAGCACTTTATATCTTGCTTGAAGAACCATAAAATTATTAAGTAAAAAGTTCTCTCATTGTCAATAGCAAAGTTTTAAGTCATCTTACATTTTCTGATAATGTTGTCATACATTTAAATCTCTGAGGTGATAAGGAGTAAATATTTAATTTAGAGTAAAACTCACTTAGATTAATAATATTAGAAATAAAGGAACAAGATTAATAAGAAATGTTATTGAGAAAGGGAAACATTTGGGACTTTAACTTATATTAGAAACTAGTTTAGGTTGAATTACAGTTTAAAACACATTTTTGTGATTCAGAAGGTTATGTTTGAAACTGTATTACTATATGGTCATACATTTGGGTTTTGAAAAGTTGCAAATGACCATGTGGATATATACACCTGAAGAAATAGTTCTTATGCAAAAAATAGGTTATACATCGAAACACTTAGGGAGAGCATATGACTTGTGTGGTAGGTATTGTATTATAAGAAATACATGGGGGCCCATGGGTGGCTCAGTGATTAAGCCTCCAACTCTTTATTTCACTCAGGTCATGATCTCAGGGTTGTGGAATTGAGCCCCACAAAGGGCTCCATGCTCAGCACAGAATCTGCTTGTCCTTTCCCCCGCTCTCATTCTCTCTCTCATAAATAAAATCCTTAAAGAAAAAAATGTTTGGTCTTCACCCCTGGTTCCTGATAACAGTGAGAGGAGCATCTTTTTAAATTCATAATAAGTCCCTTTCCAACGTATATGGCTTTATGCTAATGAGGTAACTTGCCAGGCCCCTAAATAGCTTCAGGGATGGGGGCTGGTTGCCAGAGGAATCAACCATGTGATTAGAGGGTTATCTTTTTTTTTTTTCCTTTGAGGGTTATCTTTCTAAGACACAGATTTGATCATTATATCCTCCTTACTTAAAACCATCAGAAATTTCCTACTACCTAAACTTTGATTCTAAATTCTCTAAAATAGCTTACAAAAGTCTTCACAACCGAATCTGAGGCTGGACTTCAAGCTTTATTAGAAACATCCTCCTTTCCTTCTGCTTAGAATGTCTTGCTATAAGAATCTCCTTTTTTCAAAGTCTAGGTCATATCTGACCTGTCCGTAATATTCCCTTGAAAGATGAAGGAAGAAAGGAAGGAAGGAAGGAAGGAAGGAAGGAAGGAAGGAAGGAAGGAAGGAAGGAAGGAAGGAAGGAGTGAGTTAAATGTACTTATGTGTATGTGTGAACAGATGGAGTTTTACACATATTTCTAATGTGTTAATGTCAATATATTTTCATATCAAATATATTTATAAATTCAATATAATATCCATCAGAATTCTAATTTCATTCTATTGGGTATTTCTATTATTATTTACTAAGAATAATAAGTGAAAAACAGGCAAAATATTTTTAAATTAAATATTGTGAGAAAGTATTTGAAAAATAAGATATTGAACACACTATAAAACTACACTGACTAAAACATTTTACTACTGGTATATAATAGAAAACCCAAATCTTCATTTTTAGAAATTTAGTATGTATTGAAGGTTATATGTCACATTAATAGGAAATTGATACATTCCTCAATAAATACAGTAAGGGTGACTAACAGTTTGTTGAGAGAAAAGAAGTAGGAGAGGGAGAGAAAGAGACCCCATACATCTGCTACAGCAAAAATCTAATTTTAAACTCTTACAGATTTAAATATAAAAATTTCAAGACATCATTTAGAAAAATGTGATTATTTTATAACCCACAGAGTAATGTATCAACAGAAAACTCCAACATATTTGATGACATAAGTATTAAAGCCTCTCTTAAAAAAGAACTATTTTTTTGTAATTTGACAAAACAAAAACTCAGAAAATGCTTTTTTGTCTGCAGCTTCCATAGTATATAGTTAATTGTCACCACTGCATTATAAATGTTTTTTATTTTTTTTTTTTTTTGTCTTCTTACCTGAAAATGCGCTTATCGCTGGATTGGATTATAACATTATCTTCTTCTATTAGTAGTGATTCTGTCTTAGTTTTATGACCCCGAAAATTATGTAGAATACATATCTCTGACTTATCCTAGGCAAGGAGTAAAGAATCTAGAATAGTTATCCCCTCAAAATCTATCAATCACTGTTTTCTGACTGTCTGCAAGGAAAATTGATTCCCAGACACATCCCGCCCAAGTTGCACATAAGCAAAGTGGTTTCTGTCACAATGAGGGCAGCCCTCTGACAAAACCTCCATTGGAGGCTGTTGGAAGACAAGCTGTCATTCACTGACACGGCAAGGGGTGTGTGGAAGTATAGACGACACCAACAGTATCTGTTCCAAGCATTTAGAATTGGTGCTGTCACACAGCAGACAGTCTACATGACATACTAAGCCTCAGTGTTCTTTACATTAACCTTCCCATCAAAACTAATAACATATTCGTTTATTTATTCATTTGCTAGTAAGTTTCTATTGAATGCCTACCATATATCAGGTGCTAGGATACAAAGGAAAACACCACGGTTCTTACCCTCAAGGAGATTAAAATCTAATAGAGTTTGAAAGATAAATGAACCATGGTTTAAAAGAGTTGCAAGACAGAAAAACAGTAATTTAATGGAGTAGTATTTAAAATAACAAACAAAAACGATGTAAGGAATAAGGGGGTTATTTTCTTATATATGATTTTCATAGGAAATAGGATATTGAAATAGGAAATGCCATGAAATGAGAGGTTGTTTGGTTTCTAAAATCTATCGTATTTGGAAACATTAAGGTAATCAATAATATATAATGATTAAGTGAAATAACATTTTCATTAAAAATATTAACAGATCACACAGGAAAAAAATTACTGCTTGCCAAATGCTTGCCTTTTTGGGAAGAGACCCAGAAAGTAGTACTACAGCTGTGAAAAGCTGATGAGAAGGTAGCGTATTAGCCTTTCAAAATGGAAAAACAACCCATTTGTTGTTACTTCAGATTGCTTTCACAGAAGATAAAAGGTAAAAATCTTTTTAATGGAAATTGATTTTAGAACTATTGCTTGGGATGTTGAGGATATTTATGCCTTTAAATATGTCTTTTTTCTTACTAACAAGTCAAAGACATCATTACTTTATAGAAAGTTTCCAATTTGGTAAACACTGAAGAAACCTAGCTTCTCTCTTAAAAAGGACTCAAATACATCAAAGGAAATGATATACCTCTCCTAAGAAGTTGGGAAAGAAAGCCCAAGATCAATATTACCACAGAAAACAAACAAACAAAATCAGTTTTTGAGTATGTAGAACTGAAATTTATATGTCACTCATAAGTAGGAATCATGCTTTGGGAAGAGATCAACGTTATGATTCAGTCACTTGGTAAATAATTGGTATTGATTATTTAAAATTCTGATTTCATTATCAGTTTGGGGACGTGCAAAAGTTAGTGAATATTCCATGTTTTTATGTCATTATATTCCATGTTTTAACTCCAAACATTGCCTGAATAGCACTTTAACAAACACCAAATGTCAAATCTGATCTTGAATTCTGACATTATTTAAGAACTACAGACTATTTAACATAGAGAGGAATTAATCTCACTAAAATATGAACATTGGAACTTACCTAGATTTTTACTATCATTAGCATTCTAGCAAGTAGAGTATTTGTAAACTTTTAAAATATAAAATTGCACTCAAGTTTTATCCTATCAAAGTTATTATGTCCTTAACAAGAAGCAACCAGGCACAATGACTGTGGAACACCAGTAAAATGTGCATAGCATATAACTGCAGTAGTTGTTTTTTACTTCTAAAATTCTTCATCAAAGAAGACATAGACGTGCCCAACAAGCACAAGAGAAAATGCTCCGCATCACTTGCCATCAGGGAAATACAAATCAAAACCACAATGAGATACCACCTCACACCATTGAGAATGGTGAAAATTAACAAGACAGGAAACGACAGATGTTGGAGAGGATGTGGAGAAAGAGGAACCCTCTTGCACTGTTGGTAGGAATGCAAGCTGGTGCAGCCACACTGGAA